ATTGTCACATACAGTTTTCTGAGTATATTTCCACATTTGTTACCTGGCAACATCGCCGCGCCGGGACACGGGGCTGCCGGGTTCCTCCGACCGGCACCGTCCACCTGGAGAGCGCAGGAGTCCAGGAGTGACGGCTCCGTGCGGGGTGGGCCGAGGTGGGGCCGAGGCTGCCTGACACCAGGGCCTGTGGCTGCGTCCAGGCCTCTGTGCTCACCCGCCTGTTGTGTGGACTAGATGTCCCGCCCCATGGCTCGTCTCCTGGTCACCGCAGCGCTGCAGACGCGAGGCGACTGGGCGGGCGGAGGGCCCGGTGGCTGCCGCATGTCCTCAGGCTGCCTCAGCCCCGACCATGCTCCCGGAGGACCCTTGCACACAGTTGCCCTGGTCTCCCTGTTGAGGCCACACACTCCGAGACACAGGGACACTTCGGGAGACCCCGGCACTGAGCTCTCGTCTGAGGGTTTTCGAGGATACTGAAGGGTGCGTCCTAGGAGGTGCTTCTGAGGATCCTGTGGGCAGCCTGGACGCGCCGTTCAGCCCCACGGTGCAGCCTGTCTGTCCACAGACCCTGGACCCGTCCTCCTGCATTCCCCTGTGTAAGGAGGAGACTCCGGCCCCTGGACGCTGCCTGTCTGGCCCTTGTGCCGGGTCCATTCTGAAACCCACCAGTGCGTGTGTTGGGGCTGCACCCCCAGAAGCGCCCACATGGCAGGGTCTTGCTCTGGCGTCTTCAGGACGGCGCTGAGGGGCGGCCAGAGTCCTGACAGCGAGAGGTACTTGTCTCGAACCCCGGGGCTTCCCAGCATGGACGTGATCCTGCTGTGCAAACTTTCAGAAAACCCCTCTCTGGCCTGGGGAGCTTCAGCCAGCGCCCGGGAAATGCTGCACCAGAAAACAAGGTCACGCCGCATTTTTTTGGTGAGCACAGGAATCAGCAGCGATGTTACATAACTGCTATTTATAGCTCCTTGCTCACTGTCTGCAGGCAGACGGTGCCTGAGAAGGGCTTATAGAGCTCCTGGGTGCGCTCACCTTCCGGGCGGCAGGCGGGAGCCGCTTACTCTCCGTGCGTCAGCACAGGCTCCGCCGCGGGCGGTGGGCGGCGGGTAGGTGGACGCCCGTTGCCATGGCGTTCTGCTCCGTCTCTCGGCCTCGCACCCCTCCCGGCGCCTTCTTCCTCCCGCTTTCCTTTCTTTCTCTCTTTTTTCCAGCCTGTGAGCTTCGCTGTCTCTCACACCTGCTCAGGACCCCCGGGCTGTCTGCAGAAGCAGCCCCCCCTCCAGCCCTGGGGCAGCAGGGCTTGCCTGCAGGTGCCTTTGTCCACCCGCCCTCGGGCTTGTCCCGTTTTTCATTTCCAGCCCTCCCTCCCAGGCTGGGGCCTGGACGCCTGCCTTCTCCCGCACCGAAGCTCGCTCCTTGTGATGGGATTGTCCACTCTAACCACGAGGATCCTGTGGTCCTTGGGACAGACATCCCGGGAAAAGGGCTCTGCAAACCCACCATCCTGCGTGCTCCACCCCGGCCGGGTCTGCTCCCGGCGCCAGCACGTTATCGGTTGGAGCCAAGGAAACGAGAGACCCGTGTGCCTCGGCTGCTCCCAGGCTCAGGGGGTTCTGTTATCTGCAGGTTGAAGGTTGCTACAACTCAGCCCCCCAGCTCTCTGCAGGGGAGCAGAGCTGCTTTCCAGAAGCCCTGGTGGCATCGGGCGTGCCTGCCCGCCGGCCTGGCCATGCAGCCTCCTGAGGGCCGTCCTTGTCCTCCAGCCACGTTGCCACCAGAGCACAGGCAATTAAGGGTCTGCGTGGGGAGGTTGTAATGAAATGTTCTTAGAAAAGAATCAGTCATTCCCAGGAGCAGGCTTTGAGAGAGGAAAAAAAAACAAAACCCAAACCCACCCCTGCCGTGCCCGGGAGTTGTGCAATTCTCAACAGCAGCAGCCTGTTGGAGCAACCAGGGCGAGCTGACTTCCCCCTCATAACTCTTGCTAGACACATCTGCATAAAAGATCCCCAGATTCCACACCGAGAAGGTAATTTTTTTTCCCTCTGAGTAACCGGAGGGACTTTCCCCTTGGGCCCCGTCCAGCGGCCTGGCCTGCAGTTGAGAACGCTGTCTGGGGAGGAGCTGCCAGCGGCTGAGTCCAGGCTCCGGGCTCTGGCAGCTGCCGAGCCGCTGGCCACGACCCTCCTTCCCATGGGGAAATCGAGGCCGCGTTCTTCCCCAGGCTCCTGCCTTCCTCTCCTTTTTCTCTCCGCCTCCACTGCCTGGGTTTGGGCTTTTCCATCATGACGGCCCTGAGCCTGGGGTGGTGCAGCACCTGCTGTCCCCAGGGCACTCGCTGGGGCTCGGGACTCTGGGGTGCCCCTGCCTCCAGGGCAGGCGGCTGTGCCTTAAGGGGTGTGTTCTCCCAGGCGCCTCCCAGAAGCCCACTGAGCTGCTCTCGGCCGGGGGTGAGCCGGCCCCAGCCAGGGGCCCACGTGACCATCCGCCTGGCCCAAGTCAGTCACTGAGCGCCGGCGGCCCAGCGGTCAGCACTTCCCCGTGGGACTCGGCCCAGCAGCGAGCCTCAGGCAGTGTCACCGCTGCCCCAGCTGTTGGCACTTTGCTCCTCTCGCCCCTCAGGCCCACGTGCTGCCGGGCCCCCTCGTTTCAGGGTGGGAGTGCGGGCACCCCAGGTCTGGCCACTGCTGGCCCCAGCTGGGTGCACTCTGCATCTCTGTGACAGGCTCTGCAGAGCTGCTGCCGCACACGACCACTTTCTATATCTTGCAAGTTGGCGTGAGTCTTGCCTGGGCTACACCTGGGGGGCGGCAGGCTGCACCCCTCTGAGGCCCATCCAGCCACGGATCCGATGCGTGGGCTGGAGTCACCCCCGCACCGTCCACCCTCACCTGCCTGCTGGAAGGTGGGCTTATGCGCATCCAGAGCCATCTGTGCCCCTGAGGTAGCGTAGTCACGGTTCCAGGAGAGGAGTCTGTCCTCTCCGGGGTGAGGAGACCAGCGACACCACTATGGCGGCCTGTGTGGGCACCACCAGAGCACTCCAGAAGGTTCTTTTTGTCGCTGCTATGGACTGGCGGCTCTGAGGGTGTCCTCCAGCCTGCCAGGTTGGGGAGCGAGGGCTGGGGAGACCCGCGTCTCGGTGACTGGCTCTCCCATCTGCAGGAGAGAGGTGTGAGCACCTTGTGGGGGCCTGAGTCCTGCAGGCGGGGTGCCTGCTGTGGGGGCTGCTCAGAGCGTGCTCCCCCGTCCCCCTCTGACAGTCCAGGAGGAGGCTCAGCAGGCCTGTGGCTGTGCTGGCCCTGCCCTGGCTGCGTCCAGGTGAGCCCGACCTGGGGCCCACACACCTGTCAGGTGGCACGCAGGTGAGCACACAAGTTCCTTCAGGCCCTGCTGAGGAGCGGACACCATGCGCCGGCTGGGCTACGTCAGGATGGCCCCACCGCGTGGAGGGGGCCGTGGCCCATTGTCCACCTCACTGCTGCTCACAGCCGTTCCAGGCTGGGGCCTGTTCACAGGGACACGTGGTTACTGGCGACTGGTGGTAACTGAATTGTCTTTGCCTCGGCTGGCGGCTGTTTTTATGGAGGACAGGGTCCAACCTCTTCACTCCCTGTTGTACCACCTGGGGCTGGCGCGCATCCCGCGGATGTCAGGCGTACTGCAGATGGTGGCTGGACGGGTGGACAGAGGGTGGATCGCTGCGGGCGCTTGTGGCGGGGGATGGACGCATGGGTGTGTGACTGGCCGGTTGCATGGGTGGGTGTGTGGATGGAAGGAGTGATGGGTGAGTGGATGAAATATCAGGAACTGAAACAAAAGGAGGGGGCACCTGCGGACACTGCTGCTGGGCTTGTTATAGGACAGGGAGAGGCACCCCAGACCCCCACAAACCTGCCTATTCTAAATGGGTTCTGCCATCCGCCGCATCAACACAAAACATATGACGCTGCCCCTCTCCCTGTCCTATAACAGGCTCAGCCAGGGCATGGGCGTCTCGAGACCTCCAGGCGCAGCGAGGAGCTGAGCTTCCGTGGGGCAGCCACCTGTGTCCTGGCCTCTGGGGGCGGCTGACAGGGAGAGTCAGAGGCAGAGCGCGCATGGGAGGCGCCCTGTGCTGTCTGCTGGGAGCAGGCAGGGCTGGTAAAGCTCCCGAGGGAGGGGGAGGGCTCGGTGTCAACCCTCGGCCATGTGGCTGGAGGCCGGAGGAGGTTCAGCATGACCATGGCCTGTGGGCAGGTGAGGACGTGGGTCCCCAGGCTGCTGAGCTGGCTCTGGGCGAGAGGGAAGAATTGGGGCCCCAGGCAGCTGAGAGGCTGTGTCTGCTAGGCCAGGCCGCCTGCCCTCTGGGAGTGCTGTCTGCAGATCCGGCTGCAGGGTGATTTCCTGCTTGGGGCTTTGTTTTACCCCCCTGGAGATGACCGTGTTGTATTTTGATGTAAACAATTCACAGCAGGGAATTGTTGTGAAGAGGCAAAAAGCAGCATTCTTAGGGAAGAGGAGACACCAGACTGTGTTTTGTGTCAACACCAGCACCACTGCTCACAGCAGCCCCTGAGCCCACGTGCCTGTGCCGGCGGTGCACACCTAGGGCCCCCGCGCTCTGGCCACGCTCCCTGGCTGGTCCTTCTGACTGGAGAAGCACGTTTTCCACGCAGGTTGTGTCCCACCAAGGGCATCCTTGTTCTCTGCACTCGGACAGCTCTGGGGCCATTCACCTGTCAGCCTCGTGGCCCGCCCTCAGCCGGCATGCGCCCTGGGCCCCGGGGCTCTGGGGGTGACAGTGGCCACCGCAGGCCAGCCCAGGCCCAGGGCACTGCTCCAGCCAAGACGCCACACGTGTGGCCTCAAGCTCCCAGGAAGCTGAGCCACGGGGTCCGGGGGACGGCAGCGCCGGGCCCATGTGGAAAGGCGAGGCCCTGGGGCGGCCGGGGCCGGTCTAGTTCTCCTGGGGCCGTGGGCCACGCCGCCCCTCACTGGCCGTCTGGTCTCCCGGGCAGCATTCCTTCTTCTGCCGCTTGACAGAAGACAAGAAGTCGGAGAAGTTCTTCAAGGTCTTCTACGACCGGATGAAGGTGGCCCAGCAGGAAATCAAGGCGACGGTGACGGTGAACACCAGCGACCTGGGGAATAAAAAGAAAGATGACGAGGCGGACAGGGACGCCCCATCGCGGAAGAAAGGTGAGGCCCGAGATGCCCCGCCCCGCCGCCCCCAGTGGGAGGTTGTGGGGACCCGGGCCATCCCCGGCGGTGGCAGGGCTGATGCCGCCTTGTCTGCGCTCCAGCCAAGGAGCCCGCCACACAGATCACGGAGGAGGCTCGGGACCAGCTCCTGGAGGCCTCCGCTGCCACCCGCAAGGCCTTCGCCACCTTCCGGAGGGAGGCCGACCCAGATGACCACTACCAGGCCGCCGAGGGCGCCCAGGCCGCGGCCGACAAGCCCAAGGACGAGCTGGAGATGAGCGCGGTCATCACCATCATGCAGCCCATCCTGCGCTTCCTGCAGCTGCTCTGCGAGAACCACAACCGGGACCTGCAGGTGAGGCCGCGCCCACCCCCACAGTGGGGCCGAGAGGAGCGTGGGGGTGCTGCAGGGGGGGGGCGAGGTCGGAGCAGCCACACCGCAGGTGGGTCGGAGCCCATGGGCCAGGCCCTCTCCTGCCCCCGGCAAGAGGGACCCTTGGAAAAATGTACCCGTGTGAACCATCACCTGCTCCAGAGTCACCTGCCCCTCCCACCGCCACCAGACCTGGAAGGTTGAGACCCCTGAAGGCTGGAGGGCGAGGACCCTTGTTAGGGCCGAGCATCGCCTTGAACAGGCTGTTACCAGCTGTTGACACATGTGCTTAGCAAGGCTTCAGTTACACGAGGAACACACCAGTTTCTCTCTGTGGAGGCTCAGGTGAAAACCAGCCCTCAGAAGGCAGAGGGTCTCTGCTCTCGCCTGTGCCCACCGGGCCCTGCCTGGCCGTGCTATGCTCTGGCCCTCCCCGCGCCGCGCCTGCGCACTAAGCTGCGCTTTGCCTTTTTGTCCTTTTAAACGTAACAGCACGTCCTAGATGTCTGTCTGCGTCGCCACACACACTGGAGGTGGCGTTGGCACGCTGAGGATGATCTAGCTGCTGCCCAGCTGCTGGGCATGTCCGTGGCCCCCAGTCCCTTCTGTGCACGTCTTGTTGCCCGGGTTGGCGCGGGAGCAGCACGCCCTGGCAGCAGGGTCCGCGGCCACAGGGCCAGTGCTTTATCCTCCGTCCCTGCCTGCGCCACAACCTCTCCACAGCTGACGCGTGTCACTTACAACCGAACAAAAGAAACGTTGTAGTTAATTTCCCCTGATTTTAAGAAGAGACCATTGGAGTCTCTTGCTCTGCGTGTGAGGAGGGTCTTGCTGTGTCGGGTGGAGGTAGGGCCTGCTCCAGGTGTCCGGTTAGCCTCCGGCTGTGGGGGACACTCCCCGGGCCTTTGTGCTGCGCACTGGCCGCCCCCTCACCATGGAAACGGCCAGGCCCTGGCACCGTGCTTCAGCCAGCCCGTAACTGTCACCTTTCCAACATAAGTCCCGCCCCTGGGGGTGTCACCACCTCTGCACGTCACCCCTGAGGGGGGGAAGGGATAAGAAACGAACAGAGATGACTTGAGAAGGCTGCAGGTGTGTGAGCCGGCTGACAAAGGGGCGCCTCCCCCGCTGCTTCCTGGGGCCCACACCTGGGAGAGTGGCTGGAGGTGGAGATGGAGGTAGAGAAGCTGGAGATGCAGGTGGAGGAGGAGGAGCCGGTGGAGCAGGTAGCAGTGGGCCGTGATGGTGGCACTGGAGCTGGGGGTGGCCGTGGTGGCGTGGCTGCAGGCAGGTCCACGGCTGGCTCAGTGGGGCTCTGGGCCTCTGTGGGATGCTGAGCAGGGCAGGGACCCCCACTTGCTCGAGTAGCAGGACTGACGAGCTCTCCCTTCTGCGCCCCACCTGCGCCCACCCCGGCACGGCCCGTCACAGAACTTCCTGCGCTGCCAGAACAACAAGACCAACTATAACCTGGTGTGCGAGACGCTGCAGTTCCTGGACTGCATCTGCGGGAGCACCACGGGCGGCCTGGGGCTGCTGGGCCTGTACATCAATGAGAAAAACGTGGCGCTCATCAACCAGACGCTGGAGAGCCTGACCGAGTACTGCCAGGGGCCCTGCCACGAGAACCAGGTACTGGCGTGTGGGGTGGGGGTGGGGGTTGTTCTGGACATGCCGTTGGCAGGGACGCCCGGTCTCCGTGCTTGGCTGGCTTTGGTTGGTGTGAGTGTCCAGCTTTAACTTGACAGAGACGGCAGGCCCCGTCCACGCTGCCGCCTCTCCTGGCCACCAGCACGGGTGGGTGGTCCCACTACAGCAGAAAGGGATGGGAAACGAGGACGGTGGGGGAGGAGACAGACGGCATCAAGGTGAATTCCCTCCTAGCCCCGGGTGCTGCCTGCCCGAGAGGCTGGACTTGGGGCCGTGCCTTGGGCTCCTGCCTCATATGGATCAGACAGGGCACACGCCCTCCAGGCTGCAGCCTTGATCAGGAGTTGGCACTGAAGGCCGTGGGAGGTGGACAGGGGGACACACCTCTGGAGGGACAGGGTGGCCGCAGCCCAGCGTCGGCTCCGTGTCCTTGAGAGCAAAGCCTCCTGCCCGTGCGGTGGCCTGGGCATGGCCGACTGTCCAGCTGTGGGGCGTGGGGACTTCCTGCTGCCCACTGCTAATTCTGAAACTGGAGACCGTCCACTGTCTCATTTTACCACTTTCCACGGAAAACACGTGGCTCTTAGAGACACGGCGTGGGCGGCTGGCCGGCCAGCACCGCGTGTCTCAGGCCCGTATCCTAACGCGTGTGTCTGTGCCCAGAACTGCATCGCCACCCACGAGTCCAACGGCATCGACATCATCACGGCCCTGATCCTCAACGACATCAACCCCCTGGGGAAGAAGAGGATGGACCTTGTGCTGGAGCTGAAGGCAAGTGTCCTCAGGGCGTGGCCGGTGGGGAGGCTGGGCTCACCCGCGGGTCCCCGGCATGAGTTCTGGCTGAGACATGAACTCCCGTGCCCCCAAGTTTGGGGCTTAGGGGTGTGCCCCGAGGGCTCAGGCCCAGGGGCTGGCTGCAGCGGCCCTCCCTCTGAGGTCTCCGAGTCCCGCCATGAGCATGAGAGGTGGCTGAAGGTCAGTCCAACCACGCCTGTTCAGAACCCCCACTCCTGTCTCCCTTGTCGGGGAACCCTGTCATCCACCCTGTCGCTGCTCTAGCAGAAGGCGGCCTCACTGTGTTGGTCTAAAATACGGGGAGTTTGTGACCTCTGACGCCCCCTGTGGGTTGGGGCAGACCGCAGGGTGCAGAGGGCCCATCGGCCCCACCGGCGCCCCAGCCCCTCAGAACCAAATGTGTTTAGGGTGGACGTGGCACGGGACCTCGGGGGCTCGGGCTGCTGCCCACCCCTGGCTCTGGCTCCTCTCAGCCGAGCCCCCATGCATGCCCGTGGGCTGCGGCATCTCCCCAGGATTGAATCTGTCAACCCTCCTGGTCTCGCGTCTGTTTTGAGGCCCATGGCTTCTTGGGGCCCATTGCCTTTTAACTGGTCCTGCTGGGCGTGTTGGGGGTCTGTCCAGGGACCCCACCCGTCGAGCAGCCCGGCGGAGCCCAGGACCCCAGGGCCAGCGGCGTGTTTCGCAGGCGCGGCGGAGAGGGCCGGCCAGAAGCCCACAGCGTCCCTGGCGTTCGATTCTTCCCTCCGCGTTTACACGGACAGTCCAGAGTGATTGTCCTGGGTGAACGGGTTGGGTGGATTTTGTGGTTTTGTGGCTTTTCTTTCCTCCTGGGACGGACTTTGTGTAGAACTGACTCGCACACCCGGCCCTGCGCCCGGCCCGTTGACCGGCTTGTGGCACTTTTGGAAACGGGGAGGCCCAGGCGCTCCTCCCGCTCAGCAGCCCGTGGCCCCACCCAGCCCAGCCATCCGAGGACTAGTACCAGGGTGCCTGCCCCAGCTGGGCCCCCTGCCACACCGCCCCCCGGCACCCCGGCACCACAGATGGAGGGCAAAGTGGGGCAGGGCCCCGGGGTTACTGGTACCAGCGGGACCCCTGGCGTTGGGTGGAGGCGCTGACGGGGTGTGTTAGGCAGAGGGGTCAGCTCCAGCACCTGCTCCGTGCCTGGAGCCGGGTGACAGTGGGCCGTGGCCCCAGAGCCACCTCTGACCTCGCTCTCCTCGGGCACAGCCTTCCCGCCACCCAGGTGTGCTCTTGCTTCCACCCGGGCTCACACGGTCAGCAGGGGGCTAGGCTGACCGCCCCCCACCTCTGTGACGCAACAGGGCTGCCACTGTGTGGGGCAGGGCGCTGGGGAGTGTGACTGCGGCCTCGGTGTCCGCCCACGGGGGGCGCGTGCCCAGGCAGCCCCACAGCTCCTGTCCCCCCTCCCGCCCCACAGAACAACGCCTCCAAGCTGCTGCTGGCCATCATGGAGAGCCGGCACGACAGCGAGAACGCCGAGCGGATCCTGTACAACATGCGGCCCAAGGAGCTGGTGAGTCTGGCCGCTCCAGCCGTGCACCGTATGGGTCCCCGCAGACGTCTGGATCTGGTCAGGGGCACACTCACCCCCAGTCTGTGCAGGAGCGAGACTGGCACCCCGGGTGAGCCCCCCAGCCCTGCCTGCCCAGCCCCAGGGACTGTGCGGTGCTGGGCTCTGCCCTTCTCCTGGTCACCTCGGTGGCCGGCAGAGAGCCCGGCCACTGTCCTGCCCCCGTTGCCGGGAGGCAGCCGGTGCTGCTCCCGAGTCCGAGGGCTGTTGCTGTGGAGACCAGGCATGACGGTGAGCTCAGGCCTCCAGGAGCCTGGCCGCTGCCCCCACTCAGACACTCTTCCTGCCACTCTTCATCCAGAGCAGAGGACTCAGCAGCCCTGGTGCCAGCGTCCCGGACACTGAAGGGGCTTTTTTAGGTGCCCTTGTTTTGTTTTTCTCTCAAAACACACTATTTTGGGGTGACTTTCGCAGTCGCTAGGGGTGGTGCCGCACCCGTGAGACGCAGCGACAGTGAGGCTGAGATGGGGCACGTGGGCCTCTCCCTTGCAGGCACCGGGCCCCAGGGGCTCTGATATCCCTGGCACGTGTGCGTGCATGTGAGCGTGTGCAGGTGAGTGTGCATGTGTGTGCACAGGTGTGTGTGGGTTTGAGCACATACGGGCATGTGCATGCGTGTGGCCACCCCACCCCAGGCAGCCTGCTGCCTCTGCGTGGTCACAGCTGTTGCAGAGCGGCCCAGAGATGTAGCTGTCGTGCCCACGTTCCTCTCAGCCCAGTGAGTCGGTCCCGCAGCCCAAGGTCTCAGCCTGAGAAACCCCCCGCCGAGAGGCCCCGCGGGGTGCAGGAGGCCGAGAGGCTCAAAGAAATGGCTCCCTTGTCCTCTGACTCACGAGCTGAAGGCGTTTTGTCCCTATTCTCAGACTGACTTAACCTAAAATGCTGCGTGGATATGGGAAACATTGGCCAGATGACTGTCCTGGCCATTTCACTGGCCACCCTGCTCTGCCCCGCAGACGGGGGCTCCCTGCGAAGGGCCTTCTAGAGTCGGGTGGCCTCTCGGCTGCCAGGGGCTGTGCCTGGGAGCCTGCCCTGGATGTGAGGCAGGTGGGCAATGGGCGTGGCAGAGCTTGGGCAGGAAGAGCTGCAGCCGCGGGAGCGCCTCAAGCCTGCTCCCCGATGGCACCTCGTGCTGGGGCCCCTGCCCCCAAATAGTGGCCTCGGGGCTTTGGCAGGACAAGCACGTTACTGCTGCAGTGAGGGGCAGCAGCGACCGCAGAGGCGGAGCCGCCCATGGGTGGGCCGCGTGTGAGCGAGCCCTGCTGGAGCCCTGAGGCCGGCCCTGTGGCCTGTCCCTCTTGCAGGTGGAAGTGATCAAGAAGGCCTACCTGCAGGGGGAGGTGGAGTTCGAGGACGGTGAGAATGGAGAGGACGGCGCTGCCTCCCCCAGGAACGTGGGCCACAACATCTACATCCTGGCCCACCAGGTAGGCCCTGCGCCCGGCCCGCCACACGCCTTCCGCCCGCCTTTCCTGGAGGACCGGGCCCGGCTGTGTCGCCCTTGGCTGTGGCCGCAGGACTCTGGGAGGCCCAGCCCCATGTGGCGGGTGTATACTGGGTCCCAGGCCTTACACTGCCACCTCCCAGCAGCTGCCCGAGGTGTGGGCACTGTGCCGGGGCACCTGCCACCACAGGGAACACCTGGCCACTCGCTTGCCCAGCACTGAGCCCAGACACCTCCCGTCCGGGCACCCCTGTCAGTGTCCTGCCACTCCTGGGCAACGGGAGCTGCCGGCGGGGGCTGCCGGCGGGGCCGGCCTGCGGGTGCATCCCTGTGGCCTCTCTTGGGCACGGGAAGTAGCTCCGAGGCCAAATCAGGATGGCGGGAGGTTGGTGCACCCCGAGTGCCTGTGCCTGGTCCCCCCTCCTGTCCCGACCAGCATTTAACGTGAGGGGGTCTAGGGTCTTGCAAGTGACTGGCGGCTTGGACACCCAATGCTGTGTGATACATCCAGGACCCGGGGAGCCCTGGGCTGGCCGCTCTGTTCCTGAAGCAGCAGGGTGCAGCGCACGTGAGGGCCCATGACGTGGCGCACTGGCACCTAGAGCTGGGGTGCACGTGTGCCTGCGGCTCAGTGTGGGCCTGTGTGTTGTGTTCAGCTGGCGCGGCACAACAAGGAGCTACAGACCATGCTGAAGCCCGGGGGCCAGGTGGACGGCGACGAGGCCCTGGAGTTCTACGCCAAGCACACGGCCCAGATCGAGGTGCGGGGCTGGGGCTAGAGAGGGCGGCCGCAGCCTGTCAGGGTTCCTGCAGGCAGAGTGTTCAGGGCGCCGTGAGTCCCGAGGGCCGCTGCTGAGGCAGGCGCAGGGAGGCTGTCTGAGAAGTGGCGTCAAGTGCAGGATCTCCGGGAGCAGGAGTGAGGGCAGGAGCCTGCTGGGGGCAGCCCATGAGGGCCAGCGGGGGGCCAGGCCTTGCCGAGCAGGCGAGAGCATGGGGCCCAGGCTCTGCAGAGCGGTCTCGAGAGCTGTGCAGGCCCCTGGCGTCCTGCCCTGGGCAGGGCACCCCGATGCAGTTCCGAGGAGCCAGGTCCTTCACACGGTCATCAGGTCACCCAGGCGGGGCTTCCCTGGTGCAGACTTGGGGCCCCAGGGGCTGGCCGTGCAGTTCCACTGTCCATGAGGGACAGAGATTGTGCAGGACAGACAGACTCCTGTGAGCCACGTAAAACGTTGTGTGGCTGTTAAAATTATGGAGAACTAGTCGGTTCCGCAAGAACTGCTGCTCCCTGGCCATGGAGACCCTCCACCAGACAGACCCGGGCATCACCAAGTGCTCTCCCAGCCACCGCCTCCGGCAGCCTCCTGCCCCGGGCCAAGGTCATGTTAGAGTCTGGGCCCGCGGCCATGGCGCTTGCAGGCTCCGCCGGGGGTCTCAGCGAATCTGGGGACGCGGCCCGCCCGGGCTGTGAGGCGGAGGCAGATGGGCAGGCTGGTGGCAGTCTGGGAGGTAGCTGAGCCGGGGCTGTGTCCCCCAGATTGTCAGGCTGGACCGGACCATGGAGCAGATCGTCTTCCCTGTGCCCAGCATCTGCGAGTTCCTCACGCAGGAGTCCAAGCTGCGCGTCTACTACACAACAGAGCGGGACGAGCAGGGCAGCAAGATCAATGACTTCTTCCTGCGCTCCGAGGACCTCTTCAACGAGATGAACTGGCAGAAGAAGCTGCGGGGTAGGTGTGGCGCCGGCACCTGGAGCCCAGGGCAGGGCGGGGAGCACTAAGGATGGGGTGCCGGCTCTGGGAGGCCCCTGGAGAGGCGTCCCCCAGGGCAGCATTGAGGGGCTGGACTGGAGAGCTCTGGGGAAGCTTCCAAAAAGCTTGATTTTGGATTCTTGGTGTAGAAAACTGAGAGGCACAGGCCTGTGGCCTGGACTGTTCTTCCGGGGCCGCCCGCCCGTTTTCCTGTCCTGGCGGGCTCACCGGGGTGTGTTCTGCTCTTTCGGGGATGGGGCTGCAGGAGGGAGGTGGTCGGGTCTGTTTTCTGGGAGCCTTGCCCCCCCGCCCTGTGGGCTGAGCTGGAGCAGCTCTGTCCTGTCTGTGCTGCCCCTGCCTCACACGGCTGGCCACAGAGGCTGGGCCCGCCCCCAGCTCCCCTGGTCTGCGAGGGTGAAGGCAGGCAGCCTCCCCCAGGGCAACCTGTTTGTCCGCCTCTGAGCCTGCAGCTCCCAGCAGCCACACCCCTGGGGCAGTGAGGTACATGCCACCTGGAAGGAGACCACCCCAAGCCCACCCTGCCCCTCGGGGTGCAACTGAGAGAAGAGAGGCCTCCTGCTGGCATGCTTCCCCATGGCAGATCCACACACCCTTGGGCACAGTCCTCGGGCAGGGGAGGGGGCAGCCGGGGGCAGAGAGGCTGGGGTCACTCTCCCCAACCCCCGACCCCCCTCCCCACAGCCCAACCTGTGCTGTACTGGTGCGCCCGCAACATGTCCTTCTGGAGCAGCATCTCCTTCAACCTGGCCGTGCTGATGAACCTGCTCGTGGCTTTCTTCTACCCCTTCAAGGGCGTTCGAGGAGGTACCTGCCCCCACAGGCCCTTCTGGTGTGGAATGGAGGGTTGTTTGCACGCAAGGGCCAGTGGCCTACCATTGGGTCTAGCTGGGCAAGAGGTGAGCTCCTCGGGTGTCTGCTGGCGGGAAGAAAGGCCACGCTTCCGTCACCCCTGCAAGACATTGCTCCCGTCAGGCCCTGGCGTCCCGTGGGGGCTGTGTCTCGGGCCGCCGGCTGAGCCATGACATGGCTGCGAGGGGCTCAGCCCGCCAGGGTTCCCCACTCTCTGGCTGAGCACGGGCTGTGGCACCTTCCTGCTATGCATCCTGAGTGCCTGGGCTGTGGGTTTCCCCAGGGGGTGAGACCTGTGGGCCTGTCTTCCCGGGGGCTTGCCCAGCACACTCTTCAGCTGTGCCGTTGGGTGTGTTTTCATTTACGTTTCATGTCCCCATAAATATTTAAGGTCAGTTTTTATCTCACACCTTTCCCTGGTCACTTGGGGCAGTGTCGAGGCCGGTATCTAGGGACAGTTCCAGGGACAGTGAGTGGCAGCTCCCTTCCCTGTGGTGACACCTTCGTCCGTGGAGTGACTAGACAGGGTGCCCAGGCTCGGGTGGCCTTGCCGGGCCTCTGGCCCATGGACATGGAGCCGTGGCTGTGAAACTTCAGTGTGGGTTTGGAGTTTCAGGTGTGTGCAGGGAAGGGTCTCCCACCCACTCAGGAGCTCCAGCTCCTGGTACTTGCCTTTAGCGTAGAGACCCAGGGTGAGGTGGCCATCAGGGGCCCGCCATCTGCAGTGTGGTTCCTGGTGGGCAGTGTGGTTTCCAGCATGTGGGTGCTGCCCTGCAAACACAGGCAGGACCCTGGGACACCCTGCCCACTGCAGAGAAGCTAAGGAGCCTCAGATGCCCCTTTGGAGTCAGGGGTTTGGCCTTTTCTTCTGTCGGATGTACCCAGCCATCTTCTACGCTCACTGCTAACCATCTCTAAGAGGAGGCTTGTACCCCCATCTAGAAATAAGGTCTGATTGCTCACCTGAAAGCATTTCTTTGAGATCAGTGTTTGTTCCTGTTGAGCCCTAAAGGATTCCAAAAGTTCCCTCCCACCAGGCTGTGAGGACATGTGAGGTGTGGCTCCGTGGCTGACAGCACACAGCTGCCAAGAACAGGGTGGCCTTAAAAGCTCCTTCCCAAGAGCACTGCTTCCCCCTTCACAGCTGATGGCCTGCAGCATTCCCGCCAAGGGTAGAAGCAAGCGTGGTCCTGTGCTTTAAACACTCCTACTGCTGAGACTGTCAGATAAGCACACGGGTAGTGAGAGCAGCTGAGTAAACTATGCAGCCACTAGCCCAGCTGTACCTACTGCGTCTGTTTCGTCTGCTCTCCTCCTGCAGCTTCAGAGACATTTTAAAGACATCCAGACATCTTGCCGTTTGGCCTGTAAATACTTCCTCATGCACCTTCAATTTATGAGAATATTTTAAAATATGTAATCACCATGCCTTTATCATGTTTACAAAACTAACAGTAAGTCATGTAATGCGTGTCCGTATTCATGTCTTCCCAGATGCCTCAGAGATGTCCTTCAAGAAGTGGTCTTTTGGGATGATCTAGCATTATTTTTTAAACACTTTTGAACAGTGGGAAGACGGCAGGTTTTTACATTGGCCCCTTGAGGGTTCAGGTCCATGCCTTGTACCAGCCCCCTTAGAGGCAGTTTAGGGTGATGATTAAATACATCACAAAAGGGAAGGCCAGCCCCAGGCTGAGGGAACACGCTTACAAAGCAAGTATCTGATGAAAGGCCCATGTCCAGAATCTATGAAGAATTCTTGCAGCTCAATAATAAAATACCCGGTTAAAATGACAGGCGAAAGACTCGTCAGACGCCTGACAGAGAACACACTGAGAGGACTAAAGGAGCGATAACGGGCTTCTCACTGGTTAGATGCAGGGGTGCGGCCGCGGCCTCCCTGCCCTCTTCTTCCCGAGTCTCTGAGAAGCTGCCGCCCTGGCCGGCTTCCTCCCATCAGGCCTCTGTGTGAAGACTCCAGGGAGGAGGCAGGGGCTGGGCCAAGGCACCTTTGCCAGAGACACGTGAGTCTCGGCTGGGGCGGGAGCACAAGCAGCATCTGGCGAGGCGTCTCCTGGGGGCTCTGTGGCCCGGCAGCCGGGGGACCCCTTTATGTCAGTGGCCTCGATGGCCAGGTCTGCTTGCTTACATCTGAAGGAGACCCAGAACGTGACAGCATTTGATGCAGGGGTGGTTTCTTCAACGAGTGTTTTCCAGCCTCGTTGACGCATGTATGTGGCCAGGCCATCTCAGGGGACACCCTAAATAGGACACGCGGGGGCGAGAGACGACAAAGCCTGGTGTGAGCTGCACAGGGAGCATCTAACTGCAGGACGTGATGGCGTGGGGTCGCCCTCCCCTCCCTGGGGGAGCTGGGCCAGGCAGGGCCTGCGTTTTCCTTCCCAGGCCTCAGCAGAAGCCGGCAGGACGGACCCTGGGTGCCTTTCCCAGAGCAGGCGGGACACAGGGATGGGGTTCACAGGGAGCAAGCACCCACGAGCACCTCCTGGGCTGGGTGGCTGGGGCAGGAGTGGGACAGACAGAGGAACAGGCTGCCTGGGTTGAGGGGGGCAGCGAACACAGCAGGGGATACACCTGCCAGTCAAGGTGAGCGGAGGGATGGGGCCTCCGAGCAGGTGGCATCCCTGCTACAGCCCAGGATGAGTCAGAGGGGACCAGTGTCCAGGCAGGGGCAGCTTGTGTGAGGGCTCTGGCAGGAAGAGGTGCACGTGCCCACGGGTCTGGGGCAGAGCACTGGAACTTGGCGTTGAGCCCCAGTGGCGAGGAGACCGGGAAGGCAGGGCCGTGAGGGGTTGGAGGTGGCCGTCCCCTGAGGCCCGCCTGTCTTGCAGGCACGCTGGAGCCGCACTGGTCGGGGCTGCTGTGGACGGCCATGCTCATCTCCCTGGCCATCGTCATCGCCCTCCCCAAGCCGCACGGCATCCGGGCCCTGATCGCGTGCACCATTCTCCGGCTGATCTTCTCGGTGGGGCTGCAGCCCACGCTCTTCCTCCTGGGGGCTTTCAATGTAAGTCCAGTGCCCAGGCTCGCATCCTGGGTCAGGCGAGGGCAGGAACGCCTCCCGGCCGGCCCCAAGCCTCTGCATCCGGTGCAGAGGAGGCTGGGCTGGGCAGCCGCAGGCTGGGTGGAACCTTGGGTGCGACGCCCTGGGCTGGAGACAGTCGGCGAGAGCACGGGAGTCAGGCGGGAAGGAGGAAGCTGAGGTTTCGTTTTTGCTGGGTCAGGAGGTTAGAGGCTTTGTCCCGACACAGAAGGAGCAGGTGGCCCGAGAGGCCCCGCAGCAGTGGTTGCCCTTGGAGAGGTGCCCACTGGGCCCACAGAGCCTTCACACGGGGTCTGTCCTAGGCAGGCGAGGTCCCTGCATGGATGGGGTGGCGCTGCAGTAGGTGCCTGTCATTCAGGGTGACAGCAGTGTCCCCAGACCGGTTCAGTGGCAGAGACAGCAGGGACTCTGGTGGGGGGAGCCTGGGGAGCTGGCCTGAGGCACGGGCTGGGCCAGGCCGTGGGGCCGGGGTCCTCGGGAGGCCTGGGCATGGCTCGAGGGCGTCCAGCTTGGTGCGTGAGGCACGTGGGCCTGGACTCCGGGGTGGTGCTGGGCCTGCCCTGCGGGTCCGTGCCTGTCCTGTGTCCCGGGAGGGACAAGGACGGCCGTCTGAGAAGAAGGGCCGTGTGCAGGGGCCATTCAGGAGGCAGGCGCAGACGGACGCAGGCCAAGTCCCGCTGTCCCAGAGGGGTCTCCTGTGCACGCCCCCGCATTTGTGTCTCCGACGTCAGCCGTTCACAACGTCAGCTTCTTTAAACGTAAATCATTTGAGAGAAGGACTCAACTTAGCAAAGACTTACCATCTGGAGTGGTGTTAGCTACTGGGGGGCGGGCGCGGCTGCCACCACCCGTGACTTGGAGGGAACTAAAGAGAAACCCTGAGGCACGCAGGGGAGGGGCAGGGTGGCCTGGAACGCTCCAGGCCCTGGAGCCCCGAGGTAGGTGGCCGGGGCAGCTCCGTCCTCAGGTGCCACAAGAGGGACTGCACCTGTCTGACCGCCCCCATCTGCCCCCAGGTCTGCAACAAGATCATCTTCCTGGTGAGCTTCGTGGGCAACTGCGGCACGTTCACACGGGGCTACCGCGCCATGGTGCTGGACGTGGAGTTCCTGTACCACCTGCTCTACCTGCTCATCTGCGCCATGGGGCTCTTCGTGCACGAGTTCTTCTACAGCCTGCTGGTGAGCGCCCACGCGGCATGGGGCCCAGCCCAGCACAGCCCGCCTTCCTGGGGGACTCTTGTGCCTGGGCTCCAGGTCAGAGCCCCCCGGGGCTCTCAGAAGAAGCTTCCCTGGGAGCCGGCCAGGCCCCTTCACCCCGGTAGCCACGCACACGGGCCCTGCACAGCACCCCACCCACTGGACTCGGCAGGCCCACAGGGAGGCCAGGCCAGGAGAGTGGGGGCATATCCGGCAGTAAGAGCAGAGCCTCCCCCATGCCAGGCGGGGCGAGCGCTCCAAGGCAGGCGGGCTGGGCAGGGACAGCTCCTGTCTTGATGGGCCGAGGGGGGTCGGCTCCTCCCCCCACCAGGTTTGCACGGTGCCGGCCCAGTTTCAGTTGTGCTGCAACTCGGAGGCATGACTTGACTGCTCTCTTCGGCTCACTCTCCCCAGCTCGCCTGCCACTGTTGAGAGGGGCAGAGAACTGTTAGGGGCGACCTGTCCCCGGGGGCGCCTGCTCTGTGCGGGAGTCTCCGCCACGGGGTGTGGACGACCTCTGACGGGGAGGCATCCCGAGTGTGCTGCGTCTTTGTGTTGTAGCTGTTTGACCTGGTGTACAGAGAGGAGACGCTGCTCAATGTCATCAAGAGCGTCACGCGAAACGGGCGCTCCATCATCCTGACGGCGGTGCTGGCGCTGATCCTGGTTTACCTGTTCTCCATCGTGGGCTATCTCTTCTTCAAGCACGACTTCATCTTGGAAGTCGACAGGTTGCCCAACGAAACGGCTCTTCCAGGTGAGTTGGGACCATCTGGTCCTGTTTAACGTTAGAAGAGCAGTTCCTGACTGACCGCGCGAGAGCGCGGCCTTGGCCAAGCAGCTTCCTCCCGGCCGCGTCGCCCTCCCACCCGGGCCCTGGGTCTCGGACCCTGGCTCAGGTCTTCTCAAAGGGCGCCTCAGAGCTACATGAGTGTCCAGAGTCACATTAAACATTAGTACGACTGTTTCCATGAAACAATTTGACCGTGGATTTGGAGAGCTAAGGAGGGGGCCTTCCTGTGACCTCACAAACGCAGGAATTCACTGGAAGGGCGCGCCTGCCCCTGTGCGTGGAGGGAGGGGGTCCCCGTGGTGAGACACCAGAGCAACCTGACGTAAGGGGTGCAGTGGGGCACAGTGGCCATCCCCCCGCGCACGTGCACAGCTGCAGCCTGGTGCCCGGGTGGGAGCTGCAGGAGAAGGATGATGGCAGGATCCACGCGTACTTTTAAAAAAGGAAAAAGCCGCCCCCGTCTATCAAGTATGGTGGCCTCAGGGCTGCCACTGTTCGCAGGTTTCACGACCCACTTGTTACTTTTACACGGCAACAATAGGCGGGACCTCCAGATTTGAGAATGAAAAATCACAAGTTTGAATGATACCCAGGAGCTCTTCCCTCGGTTACGATATCTCACGCCACGAGCAAGGGGTCACCGCTAGGAGCCCAGGCGCCCAGAGCCCGCAGAGCCACCTGGAACCGCTGGGGCTAAGCCGCAGCACCCCTGGCCGCTGCCTGCTGCCTCCGGCTGTGGGGGACACTGGCTGGACCTTGAGTTTCTGCTAGTGGGGCACTCGCGGAGTCTGCACCCCCGGTGCTAGTCGTCGACGTCTCGGCTGCCTGTCCTTAAAGTCGGAGAGGTGCTACTGAAGTGCGATATTTCTAGTAAGCCGACAGGAATTGACATTTCTGGCTTTTTTCCCATCCGGATCACCAAATGAAAGTGTAAATTGCATCTCTGCTTTGAATTTATATGCAGGATTGTCGGGTGTTATTTATGTAAAGAATTGTTTAATCAGCAGTGAATTGGGGACTTCAAACATTTTAACCATATGCTGCCAGACTGTTCGTCATCAGGGCCCCGTCTCTCCCCAGAAGCCGGCGAGAGCTTGGCAGGCGAGTTTCTGTACTCGGACGTGTGTCGGGTGGAGACGGGGGAGAACTGCTCCTCTGCGGCCCCCCAAGAAGGTAGGACCTCGGAGCCTTGGCCCCGGGCCTGTGCCGGGCTGACGGGTGCCTGGATGCAGGGGGCGCGCTGTGGGAAGGCGGGCGGGAGCCAAGGGGAGCAGCAGAAGGGGGTGAGAACAGACGGCCACCGAGCGAGCAGCCGCTGCCGACGTGGCGGGGCCGGTGTTCGCAGCGAGGTAGAGCGTGGTCAGAAAGCGCAGGCTCAGTGCCGGGCAAGGGGTGGACTGCGGAGAGAAGGGTCCCCTGATCCGGGAGCTAGGGGTATCCCAGGCCGGGAAGAGGGTGGGTGGTGTCTGCATAGGGGGCAGTTCGTGTGACGTCCTAGAGGTGGGTACACGTGCTCAGCATGGTGCTGGTCACGAGGCAGAAAGTAAAATGAGGCAGAAAGGGGACCCGAGGGCCAGGTGAAGGCAGGAAGTCTGTGCTTGGAAGTCGCAGGGCGATGAGGCCTGTGACCCATCTCATTGCAGGGGAGAGGAGAGCAGGGTGGGCGGAGGCCTGCTTCTCCCTGCAGAGGCCAGCAAAAGGGCCCTGAGGCCCCTGTGAGGGCGGTTGGCTTCCCAGCAGCCCCTGAGGCCCCTGGCTCCACCCACACCGAGCGCAGAGGCTGCCGGCTCGGAGGGCGAGCAGTTCACCTGGGGTCCGGCCTGCCCGGAGGGGCCAGCTTCAGACACAGCGGCGGGAAGAGCAGCACTGCCATGCTGGGGGGGGCGGCCATGAAGGGGTACACTTGGCTCAATAGCTCTGGGTGACTGTCAAGTATCTGACTTTGGGTCACTGCGCCCTGCCGGGTGCCAGCCGGGAGCGGCCGTGTGGCCGCAGAGCCCGGCCCGGCCCCTCCCCTCTGAGTCTGTCCCCGTGTCCACAGAGCCGGCAGCGGTGGAGGAGCCAGAGGAGGGCAAGGAGCACACATGCGAGACGCTGCTGATGTGCATCGTCACGGTGCTGAGCCACGGGCTGAGGAGCGGGGGCGGCGTGGGCGACGTGCTCCGGAAGCCGTCCAAGGAGGTGCCGTCTGGGGCCGCTGCTTCACGCGGGATGGGGTGGGGGCCAGCCCTCAGACACAGGGTGGGAAAGAATTACCGGGGGGCTTGACAGCGGGACACCCAGTTTAATGGTGGGCCGATGGAGGGGGGCTGGCACGGCCTCTCCCCGAGCCCTCGGCCCGGGCCCGGCTGATGACCCCCTCCGCTCCAGGAGCCGCTCTTTGCCGCCAGAGTGATCTATGACCTCCTGTTCTTCTTCATGGTCATCATCATCGTCCTCAACCTGATTTTTGGGGTCATCATCGACACCTTTGCCGACCTGAGGAGTGAGAAGCAGAAGAAAGAGGAGATCCTGAAGACCACGTGCTTCATCTGCGGTGAGCCGGGGCGGCCGGCGCGGGCTGGGAATGCGGCGCCCTCGCCCTGCTGTCGTCGGGCTCCCGAGCATCCCAGGGCCCTGGGCCCTGGTGTCTCCCCGGGCCTGGCCCGCAGTGTCCCCCCTGCAGTGTCCAGCTCAGGGAAGGGGCAGCTGGGTTTTAGCTGGGCTGCGGGCTCTGACCAGCTGCTCAGCCCCTCGCTTCCGGGGCTTTGTCGCCCATCGCTCCCTGCGGGTGCCCCGCGGCATGAGCTGCCCCAGGACAGTGGCGCTCGGGTCCCAGGGACGTTTTCCCTGTAGCTTTAGGGAAATGCACATAAATGTAAACGAATCAGGCAGAAATCTGGGAGCTGAGTAATCATGTCAGGATTATTCATAATAAAGTTACTAAATATGTAAATCTACTAGTATGTATACTCAAAAAAAATGAGCATTTTCTATTTAAAAACTTAAATTCTTTGCTTTTTGCCCCCCTTAACACCATTTAGAGCTTTTTGTTTTGACATAATTGCAGAATTTCAGAAAAGTCACAAGAATAGTATCCTGAATTTTGTACTCTTTACCCAGATTCCCCAAATATTAGTATTTTACGTCTGCTTGATTCGCACACACACATTATTTTTCTGAACAGTTTGAGAACTGGTGGCTGGCACGATGCCATCTCATCCCTCAGCATTTCAGTGCGTGTTTCCCCAAAACAGGTCGGGATGTGGCCAGGCACAGCACCTTGGCCCCGCTGCTTCACACCCACCCTTTACCCCACCGACGACTGCAAGGGCCTGGGCGCGGGGCCGCTCTTCCAGCCTGCCCCTGCCCTCCACGGGCACTCTTGAAGGTGATGGGCTGCTGCTGTATAGAACGTCCCCTAGTCTGGGTTTGTCTGATGTTTCCTCAGGGAAACACAAGGTCGTGCATCTCCCAGGAGCTGCCAAGCACCATGGCAGCCTCCCGGGTGCGGGCCCCTGGGGGAGGTGGTAGCTGCCAGGTCTCCGCCTGTGCAGTGGCTGCTTGTCCTTGTAACTTAGAAGCATTCACGGAGAGAGATGTGGAGACCACAGCGGTCCTGTCGCTCCCGGGTTCCACATGAACCCATCAGTTGCGGCCTCTGACCGTGACGTCTGCTTGAGTGCCAGGTGGTGATTTCCTGTTCTACTTCCTGCTCTTGTTAGCTGGCATAATTTCTCTCTCGGATGTATACTCTGCTGGGATTCGAGACAGGCGGGCTCGGAGACGCACCCAGGAGATCAGAGTGCTGTCCTGTCGTGGTTGACTTTCCTGCTCCCCGTGCCCCAGATCTTCCTGCCACGGCCCCTTCGCGCTGGCGCCTGTGTTTTGTCACATCCCAGTCGTGTCTTCTCTCCTTGGGCACTGTCTCCGCGCCTTGCTGTGGCGCATGAGCTATTCCAAGCTCACTTGCCCCTGCCCTGGCCGGCCGTTCCCCCTACGAGCCCCGGTTCTCGGCGTGGAAGGGTGTTGGAGGCAAGGCCCAGGCCCAGGGAGTGTGCGTCCCGGCATGCCCGTGACCACACCTTCAGGTGCCCGTGACTGCGGACCAAGTCCACGCTGAAACCTCTGACAGCTCCTGCGCTGGCGCTTACGCCACGGCTGCCCTCCCCACGGCTGCCCCCGTATCTGCTGCACATTTGCTTAGTCCGAAAGACAGTCCGGGACGGCTCACCCAGACCTCTGCTCAATACGAACTTAGCAGCTAGGGTTCAAATCACATTTAAAGTCTTCTTTGTCTCCTCAAAAACCCTCTACGTGTCTGCCCACTGGCACTTACCTGGGGAAGGGACACAGGTTCCGGTTGCCTGCTCTGCACGAGCCTGGCCTCCGCCGCATGAGCACGCTCGCCCTGAAGACTGCGCGGTGGCTGAGGCCGGGCCACCCCTGTCCACGGTCTGTGCCCTGCAGCCGTGCTGTCGACACTGTCCCTGAGGCTGGGGCGGGGCCCCTGGCCTCCACGCACCTCTGGGGCAGCCGCTAACAGGCCGGCTCTGTTTCCTGCCAGGCCTGGAGAGAGACAAGTTCGACAACAAGACGGTGACCTTCGAGGAGCACATCAAGGAGGAGCACAACATGTGGCACTACCTGTGCTTCATCGTCTTGGTCAAGGTGAAGGACTCCACGGAGTACACCGGGCCCGAGAGCTACGTGGCCGAGATGATTGCGGTGAGTGGGCGGTGCTGGCGGCCGGGGCCTGCGTGCTGGGAGCCGAGGGAGCCGCACGTGGCAAAGGAGAACATGCCGGCGTCCACGCTCCACTCCTCCCGGGGCTGAGTGCTCTGGGTTGGTGGGAAGAAGGCCGGTGGCTGGGTGGGCGGCAGCCGCGTCAGGGCAGCAGCCTGGCCTCTGCCTCATGCGGGCCACTGCTTCCTCTCCTCCAGACAATGGAGCTGGTCTCCAACAGACCAGTAAGGCCTGGTCTCTACCAGGCATGAGCAAATGGCCACTTGTGTGGGCAGGCCTGACTTGCGGGACCTCGGCCAGGCCTTTCTGGGAGACCTTTGCTCATCACCCGGCAGGGGTGATGATGGAGGAGCCAATGCCAAGTTCACTTCCTGCTGATGGGCAGCAGGACTGCTGGGTCCTGGCTGGCTGTGCTCCCAGACCCATGGTGTCCAAGGCCACTAAGATGCCAGAGCGGTGGGGGGCAGCGAGGGCACCCCTGTGAGGCCAGGGGTCCTGGTTCGCATTCCTGTACCCCAGGCGGGTTGCTCACTGTCAAGGAAGACCCCATGGTTCACTGAGCCGCACTCTCTGGGGGGCTGGAGCATGCGGCCTCGTCCTCCCCAGGCCTGTGATGTTCACGCAGAGGTGGCTGTGAGGAATCCCCTGTCTGTCTGTTTCAGGGTCACTGTACCTGGCCCACCCGCTGGCTGCCTGCCCCAGGGGTATTTCTAGCACACCCCTACCTCGGGTGCCAGGGCTCCTGAGGCTGCTGTGCTGCCTGTGCTGGAAGTCTGAGGGCTCCTTTCAGGCTTCCCCGTTGTCACTGGACAGGGGGGCAGCTGCAGCTCGTGCCAGAATTCGCACTGACCTGGTGGGCCCTGGGGATTCCCAGGGGGTGCTGGGGCTGCCACCCGGGACTCGGAGTCCTGAGGGTCTAAAGGAAGAGGCAGACTAATGAGAAACGATGCCCCGAATGGGCTGCGTGATGCCAGAGGCTGGTGGCCTGCTTTGGGCCCTGAGGCCTGTACGGCTGCCCCAAGAGGGCCTGGGTGGAGAGAGATGAGGCTTCGTGGTGGAGAGGACTTCGGAAGAGGACTTTGAAAGACCAGGGTAGAGAGACCAGGGCCGTAGATTAGAGAGGCGGGGAGGAAAACCGGGCATAGGCAAGGGGAGGAATGACCCAAGTTCGAGAACAAGCGGTCTCTGCAGCCTGAGAGCGGGCCGGGAGCTGTGGACCTGCTGCAGCTGCTCGCGAGGGGGCAGGTTTGGGCCGAGAGCGGCAGGACCTGGCGCTGGAGGCCGGAGTGAGCGGTTCCCCAGCAGGGCACGTGGGGCCCAGAGGAGATGGGGAAGCCTGTCGGTGCCTGTGCTGACGCGCCACAGGGTGCCGGGCCGGGGTGCCTGGGCTGAGCCCGCAGACTCGCTGTCCCTCCAGTGGCTTGAAGCTGCCAACTCAAACTGGCATGAGCCGGGCTGGAGCCCATGAGGCTGGCCGGTGTTTCACCTTAACTTCAAGGTGGAGACGAGCCTGCTTTCTCCTCACTGGGTCAGGCCCTTGCACTGGACTCACCCTGACCGTTGAGGCTTTCAAGGGCCCGTCTATTAGTGCCCATCCTCCAGGGTTTCCTCCTCAGTCGTGGATTCTGCCAGGGCCCAATCACCTGCTCCAGTCCTCGCCCCGCCCTTCGTCCCGTCAGTCTGGGCTGTGTGGGAACGGCCAGACGTCCACGCTGCTCTCTGCAGCGTCCTGAGCGCCTGAGACCACCAGCTGGTGGCAGCGCCGCTGTAGCAGCATCCAAGCCCCTGCTGGGGACTCCCTGGAGAGAGAACTGGCCCCAGCAGTCAGGAACAGGGCTACTTAGCTGAATCATTGTGGGGAGCAGATGCCCCAGACCTCAGGGTTGCAGTGGAACGTGCTGGGCCCTCAGCTTCTAGGAGCCAGGCAGTGTCTGGACTTGGGCTGGAGGGTCAGAGCTGGGCCCCCGGCTCCTTTGCCCACTGGTGACCTGTCCCTAAGGAACACGGGCCCCAGGTGGTGGGAGGGCCTGCCTGGGCACCAGGCGGAGACAAGCGCTGCAGCCTGCCGACAGGGCCCCAGCGCCAGGATGGGGGCTGCACAGCCACCCTGACAAAAGCCCCTTGACAGCGTCAAGGGTAGCAAAGGTCGGGATGCTGCAGCTCCATCCTGCAGAGGGGAGAGTGGCGGCTGACGGGTGAGCACCAGTGGCGGGGTTGGGGGGGCGGGGGACGGGGGTGCACATGCAAACAAGACAGCTTGCTGCTCTGGCTGTCGCCTGCTCCCCTGGACCAGGTTCACCCTCAAGGCCCCAGGGCCCGCTGTCCATCATGGAGACCGGGTCCATGCCTCTCTGGAAGGAGAGTAGGCACCTGAGGCAGCTGCGCCTCACAGTTGAGAACTTAACCCACGGATGAGTTTTACACACACCAGCAGAGCGTTCCTTGGGGGTGGGAATGTCCCTGGCACAGCAGGGCCGGCCTGGTGCCTGCTCTGACGTCATCACTAAGAACTGGACGTGGAGACAGAATTCACAGGCTTGCGTCTGGACACTGCTTCCTCCTGGCGTGTACCCCCAGACACGCCACGGGACTTCTCCGACCTGGTCACCGGGTGGAGCGGGTGACCACCACCCTACGTGTGCAGGGGTGTGGGTGAGGCAGCAGCTCCCGGCGAGGCCAAGGCCGTGGGAACCTGCCCCTGGCGTGCTGTTGCTAAGAAAAGTCAGATGGGCATCTGAGCCCCAAGACCTTCCTCCGGGGGAAATACTCATGTTGTCCTCCCTTAGCTAAGGTGTCCACGTGCCTCGCGTGCTGAGGCTGAACTGATGTGCCACTCTCACATCCCGCTGCTGGCGGGCAGTGGTGGCTGCTGTCCTGTGGTCAGTGGTGCCCCCGCCCACCGCCTGCCAGGGTCCGGGGGAGTCCGAGGCCGGCTGGTGGCCCCCGTGTCCCCGGGTGCCGGAGGAAGGCAGCCGGCCCGGCCAGTCACCCAGCCCCGACAGGCTGTCCTTTCAGGGAAACGCGCTCCAGTGTGACCTCACTCAGTCAGGCGGGAGAAAAGCCCCGAGCGTCCCCTCCCCACAGGAACCGGGGCTTCGGCGACAACGCTGACCATAAGCCAGCCGGCACTGACCTGAGCAGCCCGTCCCGGCCGCGTGTGGGCCCACGCCTCTTTTGAGTAATTTCAGCACCACCCAGCTTGCCTCTGGTGCCCACGGAAAATGGGAGTGTGCTCGTCTGTGGCTGCGGAGCCGGTGAGCGGACAGGCCAAGGCGCCTCCCGGCACGCGGCCACCGGCTGTCTCTGCCCGAGGCAGAGGCCCAGCACGACGCAGGGTCCCGGCAGACTCGCGTCCCCAATTCCCGTGACAGTCACCCTCAGCAGAAGAGCTGACCCTTCCTTTGATAAGCGACGGAACGAGCTGCGAGTTAGGAACAGGAGAGTAGGAGAGTGGAGGAGGAGACGTAGTGAAGGGCGACGACTTGGCCGCGGGCACCCGCGTTGCTGGTGAAGCAGAAGGCTCCCTTCCGTAGCCTGCGCTTCCACCTGTCGCCGAAAGCCTGTGTTTTCAGAAGTGTGGTTCTGGATAACTCGCACGCCTAAAGCCAGGGTGAGGGGCTGCGTGCTCCTGTCCGCATCCCAGCCCCCAGACCGCGCGCCAGTGGACAGCTGAACGCCAGCAGCGGGCCACGAGGCCCTGAGAGCTTTGCCCTGCGCCCGCGTGTCCTGGGGCAGCCGAGACCAGGACAGATGGGATACCGAGCCGAGTCCGAGTCATCTGCAGGCAGGGGTCCTTCAGTCCCCGTGACGCCATCGTATGGGGGACCCTGAGGCCCAGGAAGGTGGAGGACCGCACGGGGAAGTGCCACAGCGCAGTCACCCCAGGCCACCTCCGTGACAGCAGCCTGCAGCTGCGCAAGTTCCTCCAGGGACACCCCCCCCCTCGCTCCCCCCCAGGGGGGCTGAATTAGCCGCCTTCAGAAGGCGCAGTGGGGCTGGGAGAGCGTGGGAAAGAGGATCTTGCCGGCAGTGCTGACTGGCTGGGGCTCAGTCACCGGCCAGGCTGTGAGCAGGCCGTCCTGCTCTCCGCGTGCGCAGTAGTGGGCTCGGCCTTCACGCTGGGATTCTGGCCAGACGTGGGAGGAAGAAGCAGAGAGAGCCCTCAGGGTAGTGTCCCTGCCTGGCAGGCCTACGCGTCCCTTCAGGTCCCCTGGGCTCCGGGGCCCTCGGTTGGGGATGGTGAGGTGACCCCCCCCGGGGAGCCTGCTGGAGTGAGCAGCCAGCCTGGGAGAGGCAGAGGGGCTTGGACCCTTGCTTCACACTGGAAACACAGCGTCAGCAGCGGGCCACCGCCCCGGCCCTGGAGCTGGCTCGGCAGCTGCGCTCTTCCAGTCCAGGCTTCACGCACACGCTCGCTGCCAGGGCCTGACGTCACCCTTGTCTGTCGGGAAGATGTGGCATCTGGAGCCCAGGTCTGCCCTGGTCCCCACGCCCGGGGGCGCTCTCCCTCCTGAGCGCCACGGTGGGGAGGGTGCCTGTCCGGGTTTGTGAGGACGAGGGGAGAGGGGCAGAGCGGCCATCCGCCAGCCGGAAGGAGGGCGTACACTGAGGAGTGGGGGCCCGCCGGGGCATGCAGACACGCGCTCCCTCCGCCGCAGCCTCCCGGCCGTCCCCGCGTGCACGGTCACCTGTGGGAGCGTGTGCTCGTGCGTGCCCCTGTGCACGTAGGAAATCCCTGCTCCCACATGCACTTCCCCAGCTCAGCACTTTCAGGCTCCACGGCGCACCTCCCTCCTGCCTGGAGCCCGCCCCGCCCTCCCGCAGCCCCCGCCAGCAAGCCCTGGTGGGGTGGAGACCGGTGCTGTCCTCTGGCCTGCAGGGTCACGGCACTGCCTGACTGTGGTCCTCTGACCTGGGTGTTGTGAATTCGTCTGCCTCACGGAGCGGGTTCAGGGTTCCCTGTGCTGGCTGTGGGGCAGCGC